TTGTCAATGGTTTGTCTCCTGACTGCAACGTATTCCATAGGACCCCCCTTACCTGGGCGATCAAGCCATCCCTTGATGTCCTCTGGGTCAACCTCTGATGCCTCAATATCCAGTTCTGGATCATCTCCAGATGCGGAGCGGCCTCTTCGCACGAACCTTCAACGGGGGTGATGTTATTGGGAGAGAAAACCCGTTTTGCTCCCTTAGCGTGAGTTGTTGTTTAACAAAAAGATGTTTGGCAAACCCAACCTGTCTGGCAGTGTCTCCGCCACCCCATCATACAATATCCCCAAAAAGGCGTTGACAGATTGTGAGGATGCATGTCGCGTGCCCTTGCGAGATGCGCCGATTCTCATGTCTGGTTTCATCTCCAAGGCTCGACGAAATCTGTTGATGCCCATTGCCAAGACACTGCACAGGCAAACGCGCCCAATGGGTCGACCCAGAAAAGTGAACGAAGGATTCTTCTTCCCCTCACCAGCAAGTTGCCCATGGCATCCCACAAGCGTGCGCAACTCAGCTGTCATGCCACATTCAGGTTCAGATGTAAAGACATGAGCGAATACAAAAGAGTACAAAAGGTAAATGAGCACCACATGCAACAAAGGTACAAAAGAGTCTTGCTCACACTTTGCCATATTCCAGAAAGTTTCAAGGAAGCGCCTGCATTCAGTCAGGTCAAGCTGCTTGAAGCAAGTCTTCAACGCACCTTGGTTGGAAGCATGACGAAATGACTGGATACACATACATCATCATAGCGCTATATAATAACACCTTCTCCCCAATACAAAATAACAAAATGACATTTCGGGCTGGGAAGCCTGCCTTTACATGGGATTCTGTCAAAGGCTGGGAAGCCTTCTTATCATAAGCAGAAAAACAACATTGCAGGATATGATAGGATGAAAACTTACGTTATTGTTAAAGATAGGCGCATTTGCACTGCTGCTGTTTACAAAGCGCTTCTAGTCGTCCAGGTTGCAAGGCAGAATCCTTAAAGGATGTAACAACATGCTTCATGTTGTTTTCAGCTTGCTCAGATCTCTTGGTATTGTCATAGGGTCGCTTCTTTCGCTCCGGCTGGCTGAGCGCCACAGATTTCTGTAGAAACGAACTGTGGGAGAAGAGCTTCATGGCGGACCAGTCCAGATTCAAAGTTGCCTGCTGAGGCGATGCCCCTTCATCGTCCGAGTCTTCATTGTGTTGAGGCTGGGAAGTCGGCCGGCATTCTCTTTCCTCTCCCTCATCCCCAAATAAAACAATAGGGCGAGCAGAGCTAGAAGCCGATCGTTCAGCTCGTGGCTTTTTGGAACTTGGCCTCTCTTCGGGCTCTGCGCCAAACAACCGGCCAATTATCGCCACTTTCCTGACCTCTTCCGGCTCATCTTGAAAAAGGCCCTTTCCCACCTTGCCCATGCCATCAGCATCATGGCGTTGCAAAAAAGCTTTCTGTATGACAATGATTCTCATGAGGTTGGGTTGACACAAACTTGCTGGTTGGGACCAAGAACTTTTTTTTGAACGCTAAGGCTACCAGTCACATTAAACGCGTGAACCATGGGCTTGCCATGTCATGCCATACGCATACAAAAATTTAGCCGTGACTTGAGGGAAATGCATGAACAATTGTACGAATTAAATTGAGAGCACTTGCACATAGTTCGTTCTGATGTCAGTGGCACATTCCCACACAAAAGCCGACTATGTTTGGCCGCGGTTTTTACTTTTCATTCGGAGATTCAGATGCCAAAGCTACTTGTCACTCAGGCACAGCATTGCCACCAGCGCTGTGAAGCCAGCCGAGGCTAGATGCATGCCGTTTCCTGCCATTTTGTTCAGCGCCGCATTTGTAGCATCTAGAGTCCTCACATCCTTAGAAGCGATCAATGTCTTACATCCACAACCTGAATCACTTTGACTTTGCACCCTTCTTTAAACATCTACAGTAAACATTTAATGAAACATTTTTCTTTCAAGGGAAAATGAAATTGGATGAAAGTATGCGCTGGGTAAAGTCTAGTCTAGCATCAGTCTGAAGTTGATTGGCCATCGTTGCTCGACAGGGGTACCCCAGCGTAGCCAACATTTCCTTTGCCGTGAGCATGCGTTCCTTCTCACAAGACCTTGGGTCGGGCCATGTTCCCAAATCACTTGACAGTTCCAAAAAGCACCTAGCCCGGCCTGAAGTGATAAAACATTCTGAAGTCTACAGGTGAGTAGCCAAATGTGAGTATTCGTTGTGAGTGTCATGAGAGCACCGTCTGAGGTTTCTGTCCGCCGTCGATGGTCAGGGTTTGATGATAGGTCATAGAACCCTTTGCTCGGCCGTTGTTCCATGAATTTGTTCAAATGGTAAGCTTCTGAGGGTGAGAGGTCCTCTAGCATTTTGGAATGGACCTTGATTTCCTTCTCTGTTGCAGTAAGAAATATCAATGGGCTCACTCGCAACGGTGACCCATGTGGAACAAGGAATATTTTAGTAAGCTCTTTGAAGGTGTAGATGCAGTTCCAAAAGACCTTCTCAGGATCGAAAAGAATCCGCCATGCCCGGTTGCGATTTGTAGGCTCGCCAAACAAGCGCGGAGATAGCCTGGGAGCTCAGCAGAGCGGGGACAAAAACCATGCGAGGGACGATAACCTATGTGGAAACGCGAAAGAAACACAATATGCAACCTATGAATAAACCCAGAAACTCTGTCTTCTGAACGATAAAGCCGGTCTCTTCCTTTAAGTACTCATCTTCTGCATATTCTGTGACATTCTCATGGATTGCCAGCTTGGTTCTTGGAATCATTGCTGTGCTGATATCATGAAGCTGTTTTGTCAAAGGGTTTGCAAAGCCATCTTTCTTCCCCATCCTTGGATGTGGAAACAAAGCTACTTTATAAGAAACAACACTGACCTTGGGTTGAAGCGTTGAAAAAACAACCAGCAAAACTATATTACAAGCGTTGCTTCTTGTTGGTTTAGCTGTGAATCTTCGAGTGGGAGATGCATGGAGCCCCAAGGACACCCACAGAGTCATCGTAGAAGGAAAGACTGCACCTCAATTTGATCGTGAAAGTGGAACATGGCATGTCAATGGCCTCATTTACTTACCAGAAATCACATTCTTGGGCACATAAGACCACAATGAAACTTGTTTCAAGGCACTTTTTGCTGTGGGCGTAACAATTGAAATCCTTTGCCAGCTTCAGCTTTCGTGGTGACCACGCCTTGCCCTTGGCCGACGCAGGGATGGTCTTCAGCAGATCAAACATATCTGATGCGAGGCAGGTGTTGGGCCAGTGTTCATGCAAAAGCTTCTTGCAAGCGTTGTTCTTTTCTACCTCAGTGCAAAAGAAAACAGGCACCATGGGCCATGACGGGGCCTGACTCTGGTTGGGGTTGTCGGGGGGAGAAATTCATTGCAATAGAACACTTGCAATAACTGCTTGTGAGCCACCATGATCTCATATCCCACATTTAGTTTGATAGAGAATCGTTCTGCAATAGCACTCTCAAGCACCAAAATCGCTTCTCGGAAACATTCGATGCCACTGAATAGGCTATGGACTTGCCATGTCACGTTTCCTTGGGCGTCTAGTGCCATGGTGATACAAATGATAACAAGCAATGTAACATAACGTAACCACCCTACACCGACTTTGTCAATTCAAGTTCATTGCCACACAGTTTCGCAGCTTTCGTTTGACGTGCTCCTCCCCCCCAGAAAGCACACGCTCGATCCAGCAATATGCGTGGCCATTCGTTCACTGCCCGCAAGGATGTGGGCAATGGATATTCACTCCTGAGTGGCGCAGCATGGAACCGCTTTGATTTCATGACAACTTCTAAGATGTTCTATATAATCGAGTAAAGGCCAGTCAACTATTCTGTCTTTTTTGTTGTGGCAAGGCCAACTCAAAAGCAACTTCTGTTTTGCAATTGCTTTCTAGTGTCAATTTGGGAAGCACAACATGCCCATCATCTATGGCTGCAGCGGGCCGTTTCCTAGACATGTTGCTAGAAAGGCTCGAGCCAATCCTAAAAACAATGGACTCACAGTGCATCTTCAGAAGATTTGGCTTCCCAGCCACCCAAGAGCTTTGGCTTCCCAGCCGTCTTGGCTTGAAAAGAGCAGTTTCACAAAGCGGAGCTGAAAGTGATTGGTACAGCCCCAGAAGATGACAAGAAAAGGTTACTGTACTGAATACACGACACCCCATGAACAAAGAAGGTTCAGGTTTAGTTTGCAAGAGGTTGAATGTAAATGGGGCTTTGCCACAGGATTGCGGCTGAACTAGATTGAAGTTGAGGCCCTGGCGATTGATAGCAAAAGGTCAGGCCTGAGCGACGCAACCACCATGCGCGATGCCGGAACATCAAAGCGGGGTTGAAGCTTTGGAAAAAATTCGTTGCGAGAGTGGCTGGGAAGTCCATACTGGCTAGCCCTGGTCTTTCAATGGAGACTGGCTGGGAAGTCCATACTGGCTGGGAAGCCCTGGTGTTTCAATGGATCTTAATAAAGCCTACAGTAAGTGTGTGTGTGTGAGAGAGAGAGAGAGACAAAGACAGCTGAGGCCAATGCTGTTCCCTTCTTGACCCGCATGGTGTGCAAGTCAGACATGCCTAGTTTCACACACATGCGCAAGACTTTTCACAAGCCAAACTGAAAAGTTCCAAACATGTCGTGAACATGTTTTTTAAAGCAATGTTATGAACATAGCTGAGCCTCTGCCATATCTCGTAATGACTGAAGAAACGCCGCCCCACGACTTGCCCCAGAGCACCTCCTGCACGCACCATGCGCAATGAGCCTAGGCTTGAATAAAGGCAAAACATTGCAAAAAGTGTTCATTTCCTGGCGGTCAAAATGACAATCACTGCCTCCTCGTTACATGGTTGCATGATGTCTTCGTCTTCAAGTTTAAGTCCAACTGAACCAGGAACCAGGCAATGGAAAGCAAACAGCACTAAACCAACGTCCCTGATTATGTGCAAGATCATTTTTCTGGAAGCCCAAAGCTCGATGATCCCTGGCTCTGAACTCAAGGGCAGCAGGTGGGGAGCTGTCGAAGTCATAAAACATGCCATCCCATCAAGATGCATTGCAGACCATCACCTGCGCTTCCTGTGCTCAAAGCACGAATGATGTTTGTGGCCTTCGGCACGAGTGCATGCCTCCTCGCACCAACGACACCTGAACCCACAAGACCACGGCGTGCGCAACGGTGGGCGAGACTGCTGTTCTGCATCTTCAACCACACAGAAGGAACTAGTGGAGGACGCATCAGGCATTGAACTTGCTGCCGGATTTCCATTGCCCAGCCGCTTCTTCAGCGTCGCCCAAATTGCATCAAAGATGCTCAACAAGTCTTCTGTAGAAAGAGAAGCCCAGTCAAAGGTCAACAAAGGTTCACTCATTGTAGACATAGCGCAAAAAAAACACAAGGGTTCCCACCCAACGGATCACTAAACAAATCCCACCTGACAACTTTGAGCGAAGGTGATCACGGACATGCATTGAGCAATCAACTGCAAGCAGCCCCTTCCCTTCCTTGCAAATGTCAAATGTCGAACGTTTCTTGTTTGCATGCACGCCAGTGCCCAACAAAAAGAAAACCAAAAGAAATCACTGAAGCCCATGAACTGGGGAACCCGACGTGATGAAGGCCGCTCGGATTTGCAACCGGCCCAAACGGCTGCAGCAAGACTTCCCAGTCTTCTAGCGCTGACTTCCCAGCCAGCAAGCACTGACTTCCCAGCCAGCAGGCACTGACTTCCCACTCAGCAGGCACTGACTTCCCAGCCAGTGCTGAATTGGCTTTGAGGGAAAATGATGAAGCGTCAGGGATTATGTTCTAAGTCTCTAAGATATCAAAGGCAATGATGATGTTGTGACATTAGTTGCAAAAATGTGTTTCTAAAGCCCTGACTGACGGGTACACTTCAAAGTGTAAGAACTGATGGGCCCTACAAAAATACTGGGGTGGTAACCTGCAATCTATGATTGGACAAGTAAAGCAGCAAGGCGCGTGCGTGCGACGACATCATGTGTTTCAAAAAACAAATTGTGTTCAGAAGTAATTTGTTAGCTTTGATTTGGGCTCAGACTCTTGTTTTAGATCAATAAGGCCCTTCAACTGTGCCAATGGAGAGTTCTGCGGCAAGCACGCCATCAGTAAACTCTGAGATCAGCACGCCGGCCCCAAACAACAAGAGCCCCGAGGACACCCCAACAAATGTTGAAATGTTTTTTATGTTTTTTTACATACCCAAAGTATTTTTAACCATGGTGGCTTTCGGTGGCTTTGAAGGACACTATCTCGCAACAAGACAATCTACAAAGCGGTCATCCATTTCCTGAAGCGCCTGATTTTGTCCAGTACAACCCTGAGATTTGGGATCTTACTGTTCCGCTACCTGATCAGAAGATGGAAGATTCTCAGAGCGCAGGGCATGATATGGATGTGACAGAAGGTGTTGGAACTGGAAGCGCTGAGGAGGCCTTCAACCTTAAAGTATGTTTTTAACGTTTTTTCGGAACCTGGTTTTAGAGTTTTTTAAAAAATAATGAGTGCCACTTTTACTTCTAATTTCACTTGCGGAGGCCAACCATGACTTGGAGCCAGAGGGTGCTTCCAAAGCTTCCAAAGTTGTGAGAAAGGGGGCTCTTAAGAAACCCGCGGCCAAAGTGTGAGCGGTGTTTTGGACAGCGTTGAGTGGAAAAGACGACGGCGTTCAGTGGCTGATGGTGTTATGGCTGGGAAGCCTGTGGCTGGGAAGCCTGTGGCTGGGAAGCCTGTGGCTAGTTGTGAAAAAGTTTTTTTTGTTTTGTCATGAAACCTTGGGCTCCTAAACATGCAACTCTTGGGTGGTATACATAGCTGGATCAATTACTTATATACATAGGACTATAGCATCCTATCCCACTATAGGATCCCCTCCACAAAGTGCATGTCAACTTTTTATGAAAATAAGTTCTCTCCCAGAGAAACATTTTGCCATCTAATCATCTCAAATATCCATCTAAATACAATAAATATAACTTTTTAGCACGCGGAACAACCTGTGGAGCTGGAAGCTGAGAACTGGCCACTTTGTAGTACGCGGAGGAGTCATCTCTCGCTGCTGAGTCAGCTCTCGCTGCTGTGAGTCATCTCTCGCGACTGAGTCATCTCTCGCTGCTCAATTATCTCTCGCTGCTGAGTCAGCTCTCGCTATAATAGCCATCTCTCGCTGCTGAGTCATCTCTCGCGGCGTGCAGGTTTGGCACAGTTCATACTGATAGTATTTGGTTGCATTTATGCAGGACAGGACATTCAACTGCTGGTGAATACACCACTCATCATACACCACTCAGCATACACCACTCATCATACACCACTCGTCATACACCACTCATCATACACCACTCGTCATACACCCCTCTTGTCGTGGCAAAGATACAACCCAGTACGCTGTTGTGAGCTGCTGATCCTGCAGGGGGCACACACCTTACACACGTGGAATCCCGTGGGTCAAAAGTCCGGAGCGCGTGCGTTTGACTGGAGGACGCGCATGTTGGAGAGAACGTGGACACTCATGGTAAAACCTGCCATACATGGCTTCTGAAACCACTCAAGAGCCTGACATGCAACCAGAACCTGTGGTCTTTTCTCAGGAGTTCGGATTGATCCTGAACACTGAGCATGTGTGACCTATGGCCTATGGCATACTTATAGAGGGCCCCTTGCTCCTTGTATAGAAGCTATCTTCATCAACTTACTAGCGGTTTGCGCGGTGTGCGATGGTGCCGAAGAGTTTGTTGGACGAAAAGGTCTCGCATTAGAGAGCCCTGCGAGCTTAAGAATTTGCAAGATGATGAAACGATCCAAGCTAGTAGAGGGGGGTTATTGTTTCAGAGTTGAACGCTGAAAGCGTTGACATGTGAAACTGTGTGAACCTGGAAATATTGACTGGACACATGATGAGTCGGTTCAATTCATTGAATCTACCTGTTTTCATTGGTTCTTGCAAAAGAAAGGGTCCAACCCAACTGTGATTGTAGGATGTATAGTCCAGATAAGTTCAGGACCATCCAGCGGGTGTCCAAGTAGTGTCGCCCACAAGTAGTCTATTGGTCTCCACGAGCGTCCCTTGGATGGTTCAGGGTTGTATAGAGTTTTTTTGATATATTGTTCCAAACTTTGGAGTTCCAACTATGCGATACCTCCTGACAAGACATGTTTCTTCAAAACATTGTCCCAAGCAGAGAGATACTTGTGAAGTCAAATTGTTGATTCTTTTTGACCTATCTATTCAGTCTAATGGTGACACAGCCATAGCAGTTCTTTGTTTTCAAAATGATTGCAGGATTTAACACTTGCATCGG